GGACCTCATAAAATTTGGAAAATCCAAATAGACTATATCTACTGGATCCCCTATGCCCACATCCTTGTTAACACCCATAAAGAACTTTTCATATTAAGGGGAAATAAAATAATAAAAAAGTTCTAGAAAAACGAAGGGGAATCCCTTCCAAGAAAAAAAAAAAGAGCAATTCCAGTGTAAGAAATATAGAATCTGTGAAACAGATGAGGAAGGGACAGTGGAAACTCTCAGGGGAAGAGAAGGGAAATCAAAAGAAAGAGGAACTGTTGCCTGGGTTGCCAGAGACAGACACCACAACAGGGAACAAAGTCCACTCCTGGTTTCTCTTGAAAGTTTCACAAAGAGGCATAAATAAGACTATCCCACATAATAAGCATCAGGATCCAAGTCTAACCTAACAGACATGAGACAGGGTTTGGGAGAAACTATGTGGTGGAATTCTATTCGCAAGATGATTTTTTGCAGGGCCCAATTGAACATTAAGGGTCCATGGCTTTCAGAAACCTAGAATTATTTATAATCAGAAGTGTACTGGTAGCTGGTTTGAGGACACACTAACCTATGCCTCTGATGCCATATGAAGCTGCTCAAAAGTAGTTTCTCTCTAAAGGAACAGAGAAAAGGGACTTCTTACCATGTTTTTTCTACAACAGATAGCAAATCGAGGAGTTATGTGCCAGATGTTGCAAGTCTGCTTAAATGTATATACATATATACACACACACCTGTATATATAATAAAAATATATGAAGTGTATTAAAATATACTATATAATTAGTGCGTGTGTACAATGTAAAATGGACAGAACCCCATTTTAAAATGATTTGGCCACTGTTCATAAAAGGTAAAGGATCAAGTTAACCTTGGAGACAGAAGTCCAGGACAGGCAACAGCAGCTTAAGGTCCCCCATGCGCTCTTATTCTCAGAGAGAAAGAGCAGTTTAGTATCCATGTCCCTTTAAGTATTTGCATTCCATTTGAAATCCTCTACAACTGGCATTTACATAGTGATTTTCACAGGCTCTGGGTGTACTGAAAATTAGACCCAGACCAAACATTTTACAGAAGTGACTGAACAGCCCCAACAGCAGCAACATTTGATTGCCACCAGTCAAGGCTGCCTTACAACAAGACTGTCATATTTGGACAGAAAATACACAAAGAAATAGGTGTGCACGCAGCTGGCGATACAGAAAGTTACTCAGATAATTTCAAAATATAACAAACCCTCACTCAGAAACCAAAGAGCATGACCCAGGAGCTAGAACAGGATGATCTCTGTGAAGCATCATCAGTTCTAGGATTTGCTTTACCCTCACTTTGGTTTGACCCACCTAGATTTTGTTATCCTGAGTACAAACCATTTTCCCTAGTTTTAGGGACTGATGCGCAAAACATCAAATAGGAGTTTTAAAAGCAGGGAGAAGTTTAGTCTAAGGTTGAAAGGAAAAGTAAATCTGAGTTTTCTACAACCCTGCCCCCCCCCCCCCCAAAAAG